AATATAATAAATCCTTTAATATTAGATGAAATCGAACTAAATAAGTTAAAATCTGTAGAAAATATTCCAATAAGCATTGAAAAACTTCTCACTGCTGTAAAATTAAAAATATTGCAAAATCTCGATGTAATTTATTATGTTTTAAAAATTCCAAAGATTAACAAATATTGTAACTTTATAAGCATTTATCCTGTAATTAGAAATAAAAACATTCTTAAGTTAAAAGTAAACGAAGCATTAAATTGTCCCAATGAAATTCTACTAATCAAAAACTGCATCCTTACCACAACAGTTTCAATATGCCAGCCAGCAGAGCAGATGCTGCTGCAGCCTCACATTTACCTCAGATCCAAAAAATCGCTGATAGAATTATAATTCTAAATGATGTATTAACAACTAAAATCTTCGATCAATATGAAATTGAAGTCACTGGAGGAACCTATCTGGTTACATTTTCCAACTTCATAAAAATAAACTCCACTATATTCTTTGCAGAAAATGCAAATCTACTTATGGAAGCACATCCACCTAAGACAACGAAGGTTAATTATGCGGATCATGACATAAAACTGTCACTACCGTACCTTCATAAAATTCATATCGATAACACTAATCACATCAGTAGTATGCGAAACGAAATTTGGCAACATAAGTTACTTTGGTTGATTTTCCTACCAATAATAATTACAATTATCATCTTTGTACTGGTGGTACTGTTAAATAGTAGCCCCAAAGCAAAAATTAATGTCAACGAAATAGTGCAACTTCTAAGAAATCGAGCAAAGGACACTCGAACTTAAGAGGGGGGGGGGGAGAACTTAACATTCCCTACACATAAATATTATTTTATTATTACTTATAAGCCTACACAGTCGACATAAATATAACAAGTGAGCCAATGCATATACAAAAGAGATGGAGAAGCTTACAAAATCTTTAGAAAATGCTTACATTTCGGATGGAGTTACTCCCGAACTAGCATCAAGATATGCAACCCGAAGAATTGTTCCACTGGTAAAGGAAAAGTAATAATGGAGGCAGGACAGTTCAATGCATTGAATGAAGCAGTGTCAAAATTTTTAAATAGCTGTACGGAATCTACAGGCAGCGAAAACACAATATTATTTCCAAGAAATGGATATCGCGGAAATCGCGGATAACACTATGGACGTGGATATTTCCAAAGAACTAAAGCCAACTATAACAACTATAATAGTAACAGCAGAGATAACTTCAATAGGCCATACAATAGTAATTAAAGTAATAGAGGTATTTACCGTAATAAAATATCATTTAACAATTAATAAACAAATACTTAGATTAAATACAAACGAGCCTACATACATCAAGACTTTTAGAATACCGCACAATCACAAAGAAGAGGTAACACGACAAGTTGACAAGTTAATAAATAATGGTATAGTGGAACCTTCCGCTTCTAAATACAACAGCCCTATTCTGTTGGTTCCGAAGAAATCACTCCCAGGAAGCACACAGAAAAGATGGAGGCTAGTTATTGATTACAGAAGCATTAGAAGAAGCATAAACTAATAAAACTAAGAATACTAATAAGCACACATACATTCCTTCACATGGATAATAACCCAGCGGCATCATTAGGCCGGCGCTGAAAAAGTATGCGAGGAGGTAATAGCGGGGTTTTCGACATATGTGTTCGATATAGGCAAAATGGGGGTTGAAATTATAAAAGAATGAAGAAGAAAAGCATATGAGTATTAAGAATTTCTTGTTTAGCCAACATTGTATAAGTTAATGATCATTTATTGTAATGATCATTATAACCAAGTTACCGTTGGTTATTTCTGCAAAACAATATCCCGTAATGGATATTTGTTAAGAAGTTACAATTATTGTAAAATTAGTTTTTAGTTTAGTTTTTAATACGCTGCGTAAGCGACAACAATTAGTAAAAATACTATTAATAATAAGATTGTAAAAAATACTGTTTGAATGAACAAATAAATTAATATAAAAATTATTACAAAAATATTATTCAAAGAAATAAATTAATTGGCGCCCGAGCTAATAATATTAGTAACTACTCAAAAGTGCCACTAAATAAAAGTGCTACATAAGTAGATCAAAAATACTTTTTGAAACAAATTTTCTTAAAAGTGACAATAAAATTTTTTTTTTGTTGAAATAAAAAACTACTCAAAAGTGCTTCAAATAACCGGCCAAGAAACGACGCCCCTTAGTAGGTTTGAATATTCCAAAAAGGAGCTCCTGATTGGTGGAGCAGCAGCTTGGACCAGGGGAATTTAAGTATAAGTAGCAATATTATAGTTTCATAAATTTAATTCTTTGTATTTTGATTATCTTCTTCTATTTGTCAAAAAAATTTTTTTTTAATCGATCTTAACATTAAGTTTTTGTGATAAACTTTTCGAATTCCAAATTAGTCCAAATGGCAAATCCAAGTAATATTATTAGACCTTCCATGTTGGGAAGTGATGACGTGCCAGTTTTTTCCATACCGCAGATTTCACCATTAACTTCGACAGTACAATCAGATTTACTCAATAATATAAGAGAAATAGTTACACAGGTGATAGATAGAAATAGTAGCATAAACCAGACAATAATAACTGACCAAACAATAGATGACAAGTACAAAAATAATATTAGCGACATGGACAAAATTCCTGACGTTGTTCGCTCTTTGAGAGAATTTTCCGGCAACCCTTCAGAATATAGCTCATGGAAAAAAAGTGTAGAGAGAATATTAAATATTTATGACCAGTTCAAAGGTACACCCAAATACTTCGGAATTTTGAATGTAATTAGAAATAAAATCATAGGTCAAGCTGGTATAGCTTTAGAATCCTATAACACGCCTTTAAATTGGACTGCAATTGCACGTTGTCTTACAACTCATTACGCTGACAAACGCGACTTAGGAACATTAGAGTATCAAATGTCATGTCTGATACAAGGACGACACTCTATCCAAGATTTTTATCAACGTGTTTATTCACATTTGTCATTAATTATAAATAAAATAAGCTGCATGGAAATTTGTGAGGAGTCAAGGCAGATATTAACAAAAAACTATCGAGATAAAGCCCTCGATACATTTATAAGAGGACTTTCTGGCAGTCTGCCCATGTTACTGGGAGTGA